GTTCTTGAGTTTAGTGCAAACAGTGCAATCATTTAGTTCAATGAAGGTTGATTTGGACTAATTTTTCAAACTTGGAATACAGACTGACGTGTTTTAACTAATTTCTGGGAAATTTAGCTCAAAATTTCCGAAAATTTTCAATTTTTTTTATTTTTAATTTACTAATCTACTCTTAGATAATAAACAAAATTGGAAATAATTATACTTGTAATCCTTTTTAAAGTTATATAATTTTAGTATATTTCCTGCAAAAATATTTAGGAATGGAAAAACACAAGCAAAGTTTTGGGATGATTTTTGTTTTTTTATTTCTAAATAACTGAAAAAAAATTTCTTGCAATTTAATAAATTGAATTTATTAAATGAACTTTTTTAATTTTTTTTTAAATTATGTTACAGATTTTCTATCATAATATAATAAAATACTAGGTCTTGTTAAATGTTAATGCTTAATCTTTCTTGAAGGTATGTGAAAATCAACAGTTATCACTTAAATATTCACTGTCATATTCATTATTATTGAGCGATAGGAAGCTATGGATTGCATTGTTTTTATCATCAATCTTTTTTTTTCTAAACATAAATGTTTTTTCTTTTTAGAATTACATTTAACCAATCTATTTTGTAATTTCAAATTATAAGCAGTAAATAACAGCTTTGATGCTCTTGTATCAGTTAAACGATTTCGCTTTTTAGACTTTTGCAATAAAAATTCTTTGTTTGCACGCTCAGTAGATGAATGCTGCAGCTACAAGATAATAATATCAACGCCACTCTGCTCAATAATGTTGTAGGTGCATATGCTTTCCACCATACAACTGGATTACACTCTACACTAAGCTTCCAAATATAGCTGCGATTATCCTGGCTAAATATTCTTTTTTATTCTTGTAAAGTCAGCAGTGTTGTGTTTTGTAACACATCAGATATTCCAGCTGTCGCATATGAATAGACTTGTGCTACAATAGACACAGATGCTGTATCAAACTCTGATTCCAAAATAGCCTCTGATGCAGGTTTTAGAAGTTTGTAAGCTAAATCTGTCTTTTTCCAAAATAACTCATTTAACACTAATTCTTTAAGGTTAATTCCTTTCTTTTATTGTGTTTTTCAATATGTTCTTCGGCTTTCTCATCAGTTACTGCCAATCGCAATGAGTCACAAAGACGCAAAATGCGCTGTAACATTGAAAACTGAGATGACCATCTAGTTACAACAGGAAGAATTAAAGTCACATTTTCAGAGAACGTAGAGTACAGCGCTCAAGGATACTCTTTAAAGCATGTTTATTTTTTGAAAAACTTAACTACTTGTTTATTTTGCTTTAGTGTTTCGGAAATTGTGTAGTTCTTCTTTACTAGGTCACAAGCTAATAAATTTAGACCGTGAGAAAAACAGCCATATGCTGACATCCAATTATATTTATTTTCTATTAACTTCCAAACAGCCACTATGGCCGATGCACTGTCAGTGCAAAAAGCTTTTATTTTTCTCTTGTTCGGTATAACATTTTCATCTTCAACAATCTCAACCATTTGATCAAATAGGTATTTTCCGGTGTGGGAGTTTTCTTTTGGATGAATACTTTTTATGTATATTGGAGTTGGAGTAGCTAACTTAATCTGTATGTGTGAATCATTATTTATACAAGACCAACCATCTATCATGAGGAAAAATATTTCTGCCTGGGATATCAGTTCTTGTTTGAATTTATTTACTTGGTCATATACTGTCTAAAAGATCATGACTCAGAGCATAACGTTTGGGAGGTGACCAACCAGGTTAAATCTTTTTAAAGAAGTTAATCCAAAATGTATTTTCTGACATGCTGAAAGGGCTGGCTGTTGCATAAATTGCTTTTGCATATTGTATATTTATTTCATCACACTCTTGTGCTGATATTTTATCAAAAAAATATGATATAGGTTTTTGATTGAGAGATAGAATAGAAGTTGAACTGATAGCTTTTTCTTTTTCTCAAGATTTTGAAAAAGAACACTCTGGTAGATCAGAATGTAAGTCATTAGCAACCACACTTATTGTGGAATTGTTGCCTACCTTTTTTACAAAACTGATAAGGTTGTTGTCGCACGAGTTTCTTATTATACCTGATACACCTTCATTATTACTTGCATTTGTGTCAAGTTCAGATAAAGATTTCATAAGTATTATTCCACTTTTAGTTTTAGGCGCAAAACTCTGTCTCAAAAAATCAGCTGCAAATTTTGTTTTGACAAACTTTGGTGATTTCGGACAATCTGTAACTAAATGTTTTTTAGCCTGAGTAAAGTTTTGTGTGAGAAACTTTGCATTTCAGTATGCGCAAATAAGTGCTGTTTTTCCATCATTGCATACATTTTTTTAAAAATGTCCATTCCAGACTTGATCTAATTCTCGAGGCATATTTTAATTGATACTAAAAACATCCATAATTTAAAAAGAAGTACCAATACACAATTTAAAATTAAACTTACAAATTAAAAGATACAATTAGTCAATTTAGTTTACATGGAATGCAAACCTAAACTATAATTAATATGCTATATTATTATATAATACCAACTTATTGTTTTATTTTTTTACCAACATTTATCAACTTATTGTTTTATACCAACATATATCAACTTATTGTTTCATCATTGCAATATAATTGTACATATAAATTATAATACCTATAAATGATCAAACACACACACAAATAACAACAATAATTTATATTATGATCATATAAATTATATATTGGTTTTGTTGTTATTTTTACCCTTATTATTATGATAAAAACTTATTATTAATAAAAAGGGAAATAATACATAAACAATATCATTATAACTATATTATTACTAAACATAAATGATTGTATAATAAAATCATTTGTTTAGTAATAAACATAAATATTAAATAAATGATATTATAATATATATTTATTTAAGAACCAATAATAATAGTATTATTATTGTATAAGTGATTAATTAGTATTTGAAACCTTCATTTCAAAAAATCATTGATTTTTTATTAATAATATCATTAAAAAAAGTAAAGTAATGGTAAACAATACAAAAACTATAAAAATTTAAAAAAAAAAAAATTCAGCGTCATTATTTGAAAATTTCTGAAAATTTTCTGACTTTCCAGGAAATTTTCATCTATAGTTTTAACATGATTTCTCATAAAGTTAACTGATGCATAATGCAAAATTTAAATAACGCATCAGATGCGTTATTTAAATTTTGCATTATGCGTTATTTAAACTCAAAAGCACAAAGAAAAAGACTTCAATGATGGGTTCATTGTATAAGAAGTTAATTAAAGAGGGAGAAGAAAGTTTTATTAATGAAGAATTTTATTTTTTAAATAAAATATTTACTTTCTTTTTTATATAAAAAGTTAACATGCACAAGTGTACCAAGTTTCAAAGTAAAATAAGCTTTTATTTAAGAGTAATTGTATTATTAGTAAACCCCAGTTGTAGAGGTATTTATGTTGGATATTTGATTATCAATGTATCTTTGGATTAGGAAATAATTTTTTGCCACATTTAATACACATCTATTTACAAATTTAAAACTCAATGAACAAAAAGTTACTTAATTTTAAACCATCTAAAAATATCATTTTGAAGCCAGGTGATTTACCTTCCAAAAACACGTCTCCACAGTTCCAATAGTTTTATGCGCGCATATTTAGTACGTCATGGTATGCGCAGAATCGCATGAAAACAAGTAAATAAACATATAAATTGAGATAGTAACCTTAAAAGAAACACCTGTTTACTCAAGATTTTTTTTGTTTTTCATAAAAAAGACTTTTTATAAAAAACAAAAAAAAAAAAGAGACTAAGATTGACTTTTATATAGCTTTATTTTAACTATTTGAAGTCTTAAATCTATACTGTTTATGTTTGTGTTATATAATATTTGTAATCATGGAAAAAAAAAAACTTTTACGTTGAGTGTATTAGCTCTAAATAGTATTTAATACTGAAGAATAAAAATAAGTTTTCGGGAAAGAAAAATGCAAAATGATGATAAATATGTATATATATGTACATATATATATATATATATATATATATATATATATATATATATATATATATATATATATATATATATATATATATGTATATATATTTTATTTATATATAATATATATATAAATAAAATATATATACATATATATATATAAAATATATATACATATATATATATTTTTTTTATATATAATATATATTTTATTTATATATAATATATATATATATATATATATATATATATATATATATATATATATATATATATATATATATATATATATAAATATATATATATATAATATGTATATAATTATCAGATATAATGATTATCTAAACTATAAGTTGTGACGTTTATTTATTTCTAAGACACAAAACCATTTACTAAAGTATAAAAAGAACGCGAAATTTAATCTGAAAAAAAATCGGGAAGCTTTAGAGAAAAATAGACACAAATTTCAATTGAAAAATACTATTTTAAAAATAAGGGTCCATAAAATGTTTTGACTTTAGTGTAATTAGGCATGTGAGCGTGTTTACATGTAAAATTTTATATATTGTGTTTTGACTGAAAATGAACGAGTAGTTTAATTAATGTAACTTTTTACGCGGCCACGCAGATGTAAATGATTTATAATGTAAATAAAATATTTCATCATAATTTTATACATCAATCATCAAAAGTATTTTAAGATTTAATTTCTCATAATTTAACGACAAAAAAAAAAAGAAAAAAAGTTTGAAGTGGAAGTAAAAGTAACATATCAATAATAATTAAAAATCGTCATAACGTCATAACGAAATCGTCTTAAAAATTGAGATTAAGCACCTCAAACAAAAATAAAAAAAGAAAGTATCTTTGAAATTTCGAGACTCGTAAAAATTCTAGAAAATTATAAAACTGCCCCACAATAACCTGAAAGGTGGTTTTACGTTAAAAATATTTTCAAATAAAGCATTGAAAACCATATTTCATTTGCATAAGTATACGATTTAAATATGTACAGTTTACAATTTTATCAAGAACTATATCTTTATTATAAAAATAGAGAGCCATTTATTCAACACCAGCTTTTTCGATTCAACAACCTAATATATGAAATTCGCATGTTGGACCAGTTAACAACATAAACAGAATTCCATAACGAAATAAACTTTACCATGGTGACCCTCCGAATTGCCTCAAAATAAAATCATTGAAATATTTGAAAAACACGAATCTACCCGAGAATCTACCAAAGAAATTAGAGATACTAGTGGTTACAGATTTACTTTGAGGAATACGTCTCGAGCGTAAAACGATAATTTTCAATGACATTTTACAAGTATTATAATCATTTAGAATTATTACTGACAGTTGAATTCCCATTCGGAACCGGTTCGTTCAAGCGCTGATAAACGCTCTTCTCCTAATTTTACTTTTTCGCGAATTTCAGATTGCATCAAAGCAAGCTGCGATTTCATGTCAATATAATATTGGTAATCCGATATTTCATCGTCGGTACAATATTTTTCAAGAAATAGCGCGACATTATCGCCACGTTTATTGTTAACATCTTTTAAATAACAAGCTTCTTCCAACTGACTTTGTAGCTTTGCAATTTTTGAGATTAAACCGTCCTAAAAATTATTAATTGAAATTATAACAGGTTATAAAATTTATAAAGTTAAAAAATTATTTTACATTATTAATCAATAATATCAAATATGTCTATAACATTACTGATTGAAATTTAAACGCAAACTTTTTATTCTATGACTATCAAAAAAAGCACTCACCTTTTTCAATTTATCTTCTTCGTTTGACATGTCAAGCTCTTGTAGCATTAACTCGTATCTATGCAATCTTTGGGTTAGCGAAAGAAGAAGAGCAACTATTTTATTAAGTTCACCTATAAACAATTCGAATTTCGAAAATTCGCTTTGAGTGGCTTTTGATTCTACCATATTAAGCACCATCTTTCCTAAGTTATCATTGACACGAATTTCATCCGTAATCTCTTGCTCTTGCAGTCGTAACTCGTTGATTTTTTCGCGCATGCTTTCTATTAATTTACTCTAAATTTAATTCAAATTTGTATTAGAGCCATTTAAGTAGAATCATATAAAAATTTATATTAATATTTGTCTAAATTTACATGAAAAATATTTAAGTTTAAAAAGTTCGTGAAACTTTTTTGAAATGTCAAAAATGTCTAAAATGTGTCTAACGTTTATTTTTTATAGTATCAATTATGTTTAAAATGTCAAATATGTCTTAAATATGTCTATATTTCAACGCACGTAAACATGAAAGAAAAAACAAATTAGGTTCGTAATTTTATAAATAGCATAATTTATAAAATATTGCGATAAAAACGTCTTACCTTTTCGCCGTCCAAATCATTTACCTTCTTACCAATGGCTAAACACTCTGTACTCTCTGTTTTGTTATAAGAACATTTTCTCTCATCAAAGTCCGTTTCATCATTATATGTGTAATTGTCTGTGCGATGGTCTGGAGTAGACGCAGAGTGAGGCATAATATCTAACTCAGCAACATCATCATCAAGACACTCTTGTGATCCATATAAAGGTTTATTTAAAAAATACTCATCATTAGATATTGGACTAGGGCTATTGTCAGATCGAACCCCAATACCCGAATCCGCTGTACCAGTGCTTGTAGTCGAGTCTGTGCTTACACAAGAGTTGTTTCGACTATTTAAACCATAATAGTTATTCTTTTTACGATTAATTGTGCGCTGTGGTTTTTCTCTTTCTATATTTGTTTCATTCGTAATTTCATCACATAAAAGATCGTCTGGAGGAGGCGGTAACAAGTTTATATCGTCAGAATCATTTTGAGCAGAGTGCTTTAAAGAAACTATATCTAAATCACTCATACTTGTATATTGGTTATTTAAGTCACATTTATGTTGATTCTCGCTCAAGTAAACAGCACTGTCACTACTTAAGGCTCTTTGATGAATTAAAGCTTCAGCCTCTGGTGAGTCTATATCTGTTTCTACATGCCTATATAACGCGCTGGGTATTGGGTAAACATTTGTTGAAACAAGATTCTGGCTACAAGCTGGCGAATTTGAACGAAAATAAAGACCTTGGTTGCCTTCATATTGGCTTGATTTGGTCGAATCAGCTATAGAAGTTATGCTATCAAGTCGATTCATGAAAGTGTCGTTAGTAGCGCTAAACGGTTAAAATATTTGCATGAATACTTATAAAATAAACTCAACACAACGCGTTTGCTACACGGAAATAAAAGTTAAAAATTCCATCACTTCCTTTCAAAATACTATTTATTATAGCTAGAAAAAAACAAGTCGTCATAAACCAACAGCTATATATACATACAATGGTAAATTTAGTTTTGTAAATTGGCTTAAAATATCTTAAAGTAATATATATTGTTTTCTTTTTAAAATCGGTTTATAAAATATTTCAAGTTCGTATTGCAAATTATTTTTATTTATATCTAACAGTGTTCAAACATCTTTTTTTCTTCGAAATAATTTGTTAAATAAATGTTGCAAAGTCGTTACTTATATTATCTAAACCGAGTTTTTTATTATATAATTAAATAACTATGGAAATTAATTTATCGTTAATAATGCCATGGATAATAATTAATTTGCTTCACTTAATAATTAGGATGGGAAAAGAAAAAAAAATTAAAAAAAATAACAATTCCATTATCTCAGTAATTTATGTTTTAATTATTCATTCAAAGCAATGTTTAAATAAATCAAGTAAGGTTTTAATATACTCTATTTTTTGTTAAATCGTTAAGTAAAATCAGGCGTTTAGGAAAATCGGACAGTTCATTAAGATCAAATGCGTACAATTCAGTAAAATCGGTTTATAAAATATTTTAAGTTCGTATTGTTTATTATTATTATTATATGTTCATGATATTAAAATGCTGCAAAACAAATCTTAACTATCATATTGGCATCGTAAAGGCATATAACGTGCCACATTAGAACGTTTCATAATAAATTTAGCAATAAATATGCTAATACTGCTATATATATATATATATATATATATATATATATATATATATATATATATATATATATATATATATATATATATATATATATATATATATATATATATATATATATATATATATATATATACACACATACATATGTGTGTGTGTACACATTTACAGTAAAAACTGCTAATTTAGTCGAAAAAAATTAGGAAAGCATACAAAAAGTATAAACCTCAAAACCTAGTTTACCTTTTAGACTAAGAGTTCGAGGAAATTAGAAAAGTTCTTATAATAAGAATCACAACAGACAAAAATAGACCTAAAAGGTTTTTTTAATATAACCAAAAATACTTTGATTTCTAATTTATTTATTCTTGTTCATTACTATTATATTTAACAATTTCACAAAATATTTCTACCAATTTTTTATGGATAATTTTCTACTTATAAAAACACATATCAATAATAATAAAAGGAAAGAAAAAAATGCAAAAGAAAAACGTAGCAAACATTAACACACAATTAACATAATCCAGGAAAATTAATTCAAAAAACAAGAGTACAGCTACTAATAATAAAGTTGAAATAACCAGAAAATAAGTAATAAGTCAAAAAAAATTAAATTCAATTAAAAAAAGACTTTTTTTTAAATCTTAATTTATTTTATCTTGACTTGATTATCTATAACCTTGACTTGATTATCTATAACTATGACTTGATTATCTATAACCATGACTTGATTATCTATAACCTTGTTTTATTACTTACAACTTTAATTTTGCTTACTATGTTTGTTTAAACATTTTATTTTGGTTTAAGATCCATTTGTACAAGTATTTGTATATATATATAAAAAATATAAATATATATCTTTTATGTAAATAATATTAGACGCTTTATCCTGTACAAAGATTTATAACTAACAATAATAATAATAATAATAACAATAATAATATAATTACAATATAATAATAATAACAATATATATAACTACAATAATATAACTACAATATAGGGTAGAGCGGGGCATAGCGGGACAGCGGGGCATAATAAGACAGTTATGCCTGAAGCCTTATATCTTAGCTAAAAATAATTTAAAAAATTTTGTTTTGATAAAACATTTTAAAGTATCGTGCTATTGTAAAAAAAAAAATTAATTTTAGAAATACTAAAATGCATTAAAAGTACTAAAATGCATCAGTAAGTTTGCGAAAAACAAAATTTGTGTATTTTCTTAAGCGATAAAAAATTCATCTTGAACTCTTGCTAATTTGCTTTATTTATAAAAGGTTTATACTTTTCAGACAGTATTTTTTATCCTCTTTTAGAATCTGGTTTCAAAATAATATTTGGAATTGAACATTTTGAATAGTATTAATTTCAGTAAAATGAGTTTTGTGGGGCATATCGGGACAAGAAAAATTTTTATTTTTATATTTTAACTTTGATTATTAATAGTGTTTAATGTAAACAAAAAAGGTAAGAAATTATATAAGAAAGATCAATCATCCAAAACGAGATGAAACTCAGTTTTAGTTGTGAGTAAACAGTAACTTATAATTTTAAAAACAGTTGATACATATGGCATACTTAAGTTTGTAATGTAGACATTAGCATATTGCTAATAAGCCAGCTCATAAAAAATGTTGCCGAACAGTTACAGGATATTTTTATATGATTTATGTGATCCATATAATTTTTTTTTTAATTTTTATAAATTTAAATTTAGTAGCAGTTATCAATTTAATAATATATAGTTTAGAGTAGGGCGGAGGTATTTTATAATAAAATACACAAAAAAAATATTTTATTTCAGCTGTTATTTCTTTTTTACTTCATTTTTCATCATTTTTAAAGTTTTACAATTGACGAATAACTGCTGCTTTATAACTGTCCCATTTTGCCCCACCCACTTGCAAAATGTAAAAGATTTGCTCGTCTAAGAGATTCTTTACTTTGGTTGTCATAACTTATTTTTAGAATTTTTTGTTTATTTTCTTCTATCAATGAACTTTAGGAAATTTAAAAAAAACAGTGATAACAAAATAATCTAAGCATGTTTTATTTTTGAGTTGGATGTTTCATTTATGATTGCTAACAAAATTAATGATTTAATGCTGCTGAATAAGTTACAATTTAAATATTAAAAGAGAAAGTGATAAGTTTAGATTGAATATAAAACATATAGTTTAAATTGCATCAATATTAAACAAGATATAGACTTATTTGATTATATTATAACTCAAAAAATTATTTAGATTAAATTTTTTATTGAACAAAAATGGAGCTCAGATTATTAAGTAGTTGAATTTGAAAATGGCTTGACAAAAAGTACTAATGGGAAGCTATCAACAATTTTTATATGGTGTTGCTTACTAACCATATTTTTTTGATTGATCCATTAATTTTTATATGTATATTATATTTGAATTCTTTAAAATATTTCATATTTTTCTTGTGCAGCATTGTTTCCTGGAACCTATCATTTTTGAGATAAAAAATCAAAACTTCATAGAAACAAAAAAGTTTTTTTGTTTTTATGACGTTTTGAAGGTACAAAAAAATATTTTTTTATAAATTGATTTATTTTGAAATATTTTTTAAACTCGTCTTAATCTTAGTAATGCTATAAAAGAACTGTTTAATTTAGTGACCAGAATTTAGTATATTTTATGAATGGAATTTAGTATATTTCATGACCAAAATTTAGTATATTTCATGATTAAAATTTAGTATATTTCATAACTGAAATTTAGTATATTTTATGACTGAAATTTAGCATATTTCATGACTGGAATTTTCTTTTTTCTTTTACCATTAAAAGTAAAAACAAAACAATTCAAACACAACAAAAAAGAAGTTGAAAATTTATGAAACCATACACTAATATTACTATTGATTAAAGATATTTTTATGTTCGTTTTTTGCTTTAATTTATTATAATATTTTTATTTACAAAGTTAGGATTCAATATCAACTGAAGTGTGACTAATGATGCGTGTTGATGCTAAAGTGTGACAAATGATGCGTCATATAATGCTTGCATATAATAATAGATTACTGTCTTTATAAAAAAAAAAAAAAAAAAAAAATTATTTGTAGTTTTAAAATGTTTATAAAACAATCTAAGACAACAAACTGAAATAAAACAATAACAACAAAAAAACTTACAGTTCTGAGATTGATTTTTTATCAATAATTTGACTACACTCATCTGTATCTTTAATTTGAATGGCTTTAGGTTCTGCTTGTGTTAATACACGATTTGATTGGACAAGAGGAGTATCCTCTCTAGAGCTGTTTGAAAATGTCCTTATGTTTGTTCCGTCAATTTTATATACAGAAGCTCCTTGACTTTCGTCATTTAATAACCTACCCATTATAGAATTGTTGCTAAGAATTATTGAATTGTTGCTAAGCATTAAATTATTCATATCACACAATTCAGAAGAATTACTAACTGATTTAGAGTGTGCTTTAAAGTTTGAGCTTGTTGATGCAATAGTTGCTCGAGTAGGTTCTCCCCTATTAAATGTGTTTTCTGGTTGATTAGAAACTTTCCGTGACATTTTTGATGCATTGTCATTTAAGAAAATTGAATGTCTAAATTTTGGGTAATTTTTCATAAGTTCTTGATGGTATCTGTTAGCAGCCTGCCTCAACTCATCAGCAGGGTCATTTTTTATAGTAGTTTTGCACTTATCTTTTTGATCATATCTAACATCATCAGTTGAATAACTAGGAAACAATTGCTGATCAAGTTGGTTGCTATTCCCAGTAGTTTTATAATGATACGATTTGTTGTTATCATACGACTTGTTAGTATCCGTAAAATTAGAAACATCTTCTTGATCATCTTTCTCATCAAAACATGCTGATTTTTGAATATCCGAAACAGAATCTTTATACAAGCGATTATTCTTATAAGTCAAAGTTGTACCTGCATAGTTGTGCAAATCTTTTGTCATTACATCTATAGGTAATGATCTAGTTTTTGCATGCATTGGCATTCCATCTTCAATTGAGTTTTTGCTAACCACCTTATTAGAAACTTTTTCATTTGTGTTTAAATTTCTAAAATCAAAACTAACAGTGTAATGTTTGCTCTAATATTGGAAGTGAAAATTATTTGTTTTGTGGGTAAAATTAAATAAGAACTAATTTGAAAAAACAAATAAAAAAAAACAAGATTTTCTTCATTTATCTAATATATACTCATTCTATCAATAATTATCTTAATTGAACTTTTTTTGTTTTAAAAAAAAATAAAACTAAAAGTCTATTGATAAAATATTTTATCAATTTTTTAATTTTATATACTTATTTAATTTTATCGATTTTTATGATTATAACAAATATTTTTTTGAATTTTTATTGATTTTTAGTTTGTAGAATTTTCATCATTTATTTATTTTAAGAAATAAATCTTTAAAAATAGAGAAATACATTTCTAACTGGTCATTATTACTGTATCACTAAGGTTAATTTCATTTGATTAGTTTGATAGAGTTACTTCCTATCCTTATTTTTTAAAGTATAATTCCATCTAATTATCAATACCTTGAACAAACTTTTTTGTGTAGTTCATCTGTTAAAATTTTTTGTTTTCTTTAAAAGCATTTAACGAAGAAAACTAATCTAACTTATTGTTCCTAATAGTGAACAATCAGCAAGATCTGGGAAAAAAAAAAAAAGATCAGATATATATAAGGCAATGTCAAAAACAAAAAAACGAATAAACTTATGTATAGATTAGAAATAGTTGTGAAAAATTAAAAATAATGATGTCCAAAATATTTTAATTTAAAGGAGGAAATATGAAAACTAGCCTTAAAACTTTAAAGAGATGGGATGTACAGACTAGGAGTCTAGCGATCAGAGTTCTAAAGCTCTATTTTTAAAAAATCAACCACTTTGATTTTAGATTAAATTTATTGCAAATGTGAAAGTGGTATTTAACTACACAAATTGGATAAGAATTTTACAAAAAAAGTTTTTTTTTTTTTTTTTTTTTTAATGTTGTAATATTCTTAATTTTAAAAAAAAAAAATTATTGTGTGTGGAAATAAAATTTTTGTAAAGGAACTCAGCTAAAATTTAGTAAAAAAAAAGAAAAAATAAATTAATATAACAATTAAAAAATATAAATTAAACTTACAACGCTTTTGCAATATGCTTTGGGGTATTTCCTCTATGTTTAAGTTCAACAGACATGTTTTCAAACATTGCCTTTGCATCTGATACTTTTTTTATAGATCCAACTTCAATAACTTCTCTATTATCAGTGCTGTTTAACCTGCTACGACTGGAAGATAATTGGCTAAAATTAACAAATTAATGAAAGTTTATCTCTAATCTTTTAAAATTAACTGCAATATTGCAAGTTATTTTTATGTTGCTCGCCACTACTAACTCAGCAGTATTTATTCATTTAAATTTTAAATCCTCTTGTAAATGGTTCCTTTACTTAAAGTATAATTCTTATTAAATCAAATATATTTTGAAATATTTTTACATCAAGGATATTTACAAATAGTAATAATTACTAATGTGAAGTAAACACGTGAATCAAGAAAGAAAGTGAAATCATTTTTATAGACTAGTATTTAATCAAAAATTAAAGAAAGATTTAACTATTTTGTGTGAGACAATGAGACAATTTAATTTTATTTATGTTAGAACATATTCCGGTTTTTGCAATGCACTTCACTCTGTTGTGCAATCATACATTATTCTTGCTCATCTCTATATAAAAAATTTCAAATAAAATTTACTTACAATTCAATTTATTATTAAGCACCTTATTAAGCACCTGCATGTTCAGTGAAGTAGTTTAGTAATTGTTGTTATGACTCACAGATCAAAGTTATATTATAATAAACTTTATGGATAGTTAATATGACCAAAAAAAAAATTATTATGGACAGGATTATATACCAGCCTCTTGAATCAAATTTTAGACTTACGCACACACACACACACACACACACACACACACACACACACACAGATGTACATAAGAATACATCATTTGTGACATACTATTTGTGACTTACTATTTATTTTTATATTTTAAAATTTTTTAAAAAAGATTTAAACTGAAAAATAGTTACAAAAATTTGTTATTTACAATAATAGAATATTCTTTTGTAATAATAATTTTAATATATCTTTGTATTTTTTTTTTTTTTTTTGATAAAACAAAAATTTTTTTTTTTTTTTAATATATACAAGAGCTACTTTTAAAAAGTATAAAAAATTATGTGGGCTAATTACTATGACGAATAAAATAGTTTGAATATATTATAAAGGAAATAATAAATCACACTTCACAATCCTATCTGCGATCTAAATTATAAAACAACAATGGATTTAAATAATTAGCTGTTAAATGTTTTTTCCAAAAAACCTGGAAACCTGTCTGGAAGTAGAAATTATGTAGAAATATAAGAATCAACAGACATCTTTTCTTTTTTTATTGATAACTGTTTTAAAATTAGGTTTATTTTATCATATAGAAAACAATTAAAGAACAGTGTTGTAAAGTACTTTTTTTGAATATGTGTTTTTGGATAACGATTTCAGTAACAAGTTTAATTATACAAAAAAAAATTTTTTCATAAAAGTCATAGAAGTTCCATCAAAACTATTTCTAAAAATAGGAAACTTTTGCAGTTATAAACAACAAAAAAAAAATCAATTAAGCTTTGTGTGATGATATGCAATTTCGAAGTAGTTTTTGAAGTTCTTCTTGATATTTTTTTTAAAACAAAGTGTTGTTTTCTTATATAGAACACAATTATAGAACAGTGTTGTAATTTTAAAGTTAGTAAACTTTTCAAACCTATGTTAAGCTACTAAATTTAAAAGGTTTTCATTTGAATTGAATTTGCCACCATAATAATTGCCCACACAGCCCATGTAAAAGTTATTTTTAGTTTGTGATTGAATACACTTTGGTATAAATCAAACAAAAACATGCAAATTTAAAAAAAAATTTGAATTTTTTCAAACTTAAAGTAATTTTGTTGTACACTTGAGTCTTTTCTTATTTTAAAAACCACATCAATACTGTGTTTATAAGTTTTTAAAAAATCTATGATATCTTTTAAATATGCTAAAGCAACCTTTATTTATTTAAAAAATTTATAAAACTTGAATATATTTATATATTTAATTTTGGGTTATAAGTAAGAAAAAAATTGTTTTCTAATACAACTTTATTTTGTTTGCATTTTAGTAAAAGTAAAATGAATGAATTAAACTGAATGAATTAATATAATGGAGAAAAACAAAAATGTAAAAATCTCATGAATTGATCTTTTCACAGAATTTATTCAAACTTAACTCATTAAATCAAACTCACTTATTCAATTATAAAATAAACATTTTTAAAAACCTTTGGAATACCATTAACCTTACAAGAGTTTGAATAGATGAGTGACAATGCAAAGAAACAAAAATGTCTGACAACGCAAAAAAAAAAAAAAATAATAATAATAATAAAATATAAAAAATAAAAATTAAAAAAAAAAAGGATTTTTTTTCATTTTCCCCAAAATTACTCATATTTTGGATGGTAAAGATAATTCTGTTCAATACAAAGAACTTGCAAGTATGATTCTGTTTTAAATATAACTAAAAATTCTTTTATTCCTGTAAATGGTGATCCAATGTATCCAATGTGCTTCAAAGATGGTTTTCTTTTAAGAATGAATGTGAAAGTGTTTCTAAATTACTGATAACGCATAAGAAAAATCAAATGCTCAAAAGATCTTTTGTACTTGTAGTTAACTTGTATGCACAAAAATAACATGTTGCCATTACAGATTATAATCTTATCTTTCATAGAGGTTCTTGCTAACATAAAGTTAATAATAATGAACTTTATTTGCTATGCTTTAATAATACAGTCAAAACTTTTACAAATATGTCATAGGAAAACTTAAACAAATTTATACCAAAGTCCTTCACTCTTTTGTTGAACTATTCATTCTTAATTGCAGTTATGGCCATAAACTTATCTGAGAAAGGTCTTGAAACAAACAACAACAACATACCAAACTATTTACAGCTTTTCTCTTGTAAGACATCTCACCTAGAACACCTTATAGATGTGATGATTGGTTTTTCAGAAAAATCTAAATTAAGTGTTATAAACCAAATTTTATATTTCACACCTTCAAAAGAATATTTGGATATCCACATTGGTAACTGTGGTTATGATTGTTGAGTCGAGATACCAAAATTGTGGTTTAAAGAAGCATTAAAATAACTTTACATTTTCAAAAATATCTTGTCATATAATAAATTTTGTATCATTAAAAACTTTTTTTTAAATTTCATTATTTTGTTAATAAAAACCCATATTTGACAAAACATATGCAAAACATTTCTTATCAATCAACAATAGGAATCATGCTCTAAATAATGTCAACTTTTAAATTTTCTTTTATTTAAAGTATATCTAATAAATTACATTTTAAGTTGTCATCTGAAAAAAACATTTGAATGTTTATAAAAAAATATTTAAATATTAAATAACTATGTTTTCCTAAAGTTAAGAGTAGTTTACAAAACAATATGAAGGTTTTGAGCATTCTTTGTTTGGATTATAATTTATCTTAAAAAAAGAGCTTATGTTTGTTTATTGTTAAAATTGCTATTTATTGTTAGTATAAAGTTTATTATTTATGAGCTCAAGTTCTCACTTGCTTGTTTAGTATATTTTAAATTAGCTATAAAATAAAAACCTGAGCCTTGGTTTATTTTGATTTAATTGAAATAAAAATCTTAGTCTTGCTTAACTTTATTTACATTTGATTGTAAACAATGATTTAGAAAAAATACTTTTAAAAAATTAAACAAGTGTTTTTTGATAATTTTGTTTATGTTTGTTTTACATAAACAAAATTATCCATATGCATCCTGTTTAGGAATTTCAATGTTTAATCTGGGTTTTTAGTTATAATATCTAGAATTTATTATGATGAGTCCAATTCATATTGTGTTCAAAGTTTAAAAGTAAAAACTGATTAGTTTTTTCATTTTTCTAATAAAGCTAAAAAATTAAAAAAAAAATACTTTTTTTTTAAAGTTTTGATAAAAATAATATGATAAAAAAAAAATCAAAAATCAAAAATAAGATTTCCACAGTAGCTCAGTAAATGCAACTTTCAACATAATAGGCTGATAACTATTTTAAAAATATCTTTGAAGTTTAATAATAAACCCATAATTCTATTAACTTTTTTTTTTTTTAAATCAAAAATTTATTTTTACTTTAAAAAGCAGTACAGATCTGCAATTTTTTTTTATAATTCTACGACCACATTGTAATTACTTCCAAACGACTTCCAACTAGATTTCAATTATCCTTACATTTTACAAATCTAATCAATTAATTTCAATTTTAAGCCTAACTTGATGGTAACTTAAGTTTGTAACAGCTTAATAGGCAAAGGCACATAATACAACAAGTTTAAATTAAAAATGGTTACTTGAAAAGCTAGGAAAATCTCATCGAACAAAGATCTAACCTATCAGGAAACTCATGCATTGTATCTTCATCAATACTTCTTTGCAAAGTAAACAACGCAGGAATACCAACACGAACACTAGGTTTATTAGATTTTTCGCTTTCTAATGAATAGATTTTACAATTTTTCTCATCAGCATTTGAAAGTGAAAGTGTTTTTGAGGTGCAGTAATTTGTTGATAAATCATTCATATTGCGTACCATGTCACATAAAAAACTTTCTAACGGTTAAAACTTCATTTTATATTATTTCTGAAAATATTTTGCAAATATGTAATTATAAAATAGAGAAGTTTGAGAGGATAATAATAAAAATGTGTTATGCAAATAACTTTTTTAAAATAAAAATTTTTTACAAAACTTATTAGTATAGCAACAAAAACAAATGATAGAAAATGATAAGGACTAAGTCGTGTTACAATAATTTAATTTACAACAATTTTTTATATTACATAAAATTTAGATAAAAATTGAATTTTAAAAAACTAAATGTAAAATGCAGTTTACAACATTTTAAAAACATGACCAACAAAGTTTAATGGTTTGTAAACATAAAAAAAAAAAAACCTTCAAAAAGTGTAAAGTAGAAAAAATAGATTAAAAAGGACAATAAATTCTTATACTATTGCTTTATATCTTTTATTTTAAACTTATTTTTTAATACTAATATAAAGCATAAATGCAACATTAATATAAAATTTAAACAATTTACTAATTCAAAAAAAAAGCATTTCACCATATTTAATTATTTTGGTGAGTTTTAAAGGTAAACATTTACTCTTAGCTCCGCGCTATAAAAATACAAAAAAAAAAAAAAAAAACAGTCAGAACTTAGTAGTTGTAAACAATATTCTGTTCAAATAAGTCAGCTAACTGCATGCAAAATTAATTACATAAATAAACAAAAACATCAGACAAAAATTTTACTTGAAGAATGGAAACCAAGTTATTTTACTTAAATAAATTTTATTAATTCAATAAAAAAATTTATATATATATCAATTGCAACTATGCAAATAGTTGTAATATAACACTTCATTGAGGTTTATAATACTAAAATAAGCAAAAAACTTTACTATTTTTTAACTAATGCTAAAAACAGTCAACAATAATAGATAATTTCAAAACTATACTTTAATACTATGTATAATTTGCAATTTATAAGATTTATAAAAGAAATCTTTATTTTTATCAGCAACTTTTTCACTTATATATAATCTAATCAGGTGATCTTGTAGAACATTTTACTGCAAGAGACATTTTAAAGCAACATTTGTTTTATATTTCAACAATACTCATTTAAAATTTTATTCAAGAAAAGTATATAAGTAAAAAAAATAATTAGAAAACAAGTTCTTTTTTTTATTATTACATAAATATGTCACACTCTTGATACCTTGGAAACATATTACACTTCAAAAATTAGATAAACTATGGTATTTAACAATTTTAAGTTAAATTTACTAGCTGTTTGATTTTAATGAGATTTTTATCTTAACAAGATTATTATTAAAAAGATATAAAGTAATAAGTTGAAACCACTAACAATTAACATGAGTATTTAAAACATTGCATATAGTATATAAAAATTACCCAAACATATAGTTACCATAATATAAGCTTAGTTAAAATAACATATGCATAGTTAATTTAATATATAGATAGTTAATATGAACATAAATAATCCAAGTATTAGATTTAAAAATACTTGATAATAAAATCAAACAATATTTTTCCAATAATGCACATTTAGGGAATAAAATAGTTTTCATTGAAAAATTTGAATAACTCAATTTGGTTTTTATTTATTTAATTTGAGGTATTTAAAACAGCCATAAATAAGTTTGTTTTCAAGCTTTTGGAATTATTTTTTTATTATTTTCCTTGCTCCAAGATAAAAAAAGTAATTGCTTTACATATTTTAAGAGGATCAAGGTAATTGAATAAAAAAATATTAAAATACCATAAAATATTTGTATAGGCATTTTCTTAAAGATATGCAAACCATTAAATCATATAGCATAGACTTACTAAATATAAACTTTATTCTAATAATAACTGCATTAAGCATGTATCAATCTAGAAAAATAACAATTTTTTTTTTTGAAAAACAGTTCAAAAAAAAATAAGTGTTACTATATAAAGTTGATAACAAATCAGTTATAAATTTAAAATACTTATAAATTATTAGCTAATTAAACAGTAAAAAAATATATAAAACAGTAAAAAAAGTAATACAAGATTTTTTGCAGAGTTTGTATTATAGCAAGATAAATCATTTAATCTTACTAAAATAAATTTGATAATATAGGAAAAAATGAAACTGAAGTCACTTTTTTTAATGTTTGCATTATCATATTTATAATTTAGCAGCAATCAATGAGTTTTTTTTTAAGCTTTTAGTATTCGCTTTTTTTTTCCCTTCCTTTTTCTGAGATAAAAATGTAATTGCTTTACATATTTCAAGAGGATAAAGATGATGGCATTAAAAAATAATAAAATACTATTAAATATTTGTAAGACATTTTCTTAAAGATATGCAAACAATTGAATCATATAGCATAGACTTACTAAATATAAACTTTTTATTCTAATAATACCTGCATCATGCATCAAACAATCTAGGACCATAAATGACAAAAAAAAATCTTTTTGAAAAATGTTTAAAATGTTTATGTAGCTGCACAGACAATTCAGGGGGAATATAAGATGATACCAAATCAGTTATAAATTTGTTAGTTCAAATAAAACAATATTAAATCTGTTTAACATTTTTTAAACTTTAATGAATTTTATGCAACAATTTTGATTTATATAGGTTTACGACAACCAACCAGACGCACTAACACTAAAGGGTCATCCATAAAGTACATACACTTTTATTTCAAACCCCCCCTCCCCCCTGCATTTTGCTGTACGCTTTTTTGAGTATCCTCCACCTCCCTAAAAGTACCTACGCTTTTAACCTACCTACCCAACATTTTATATTGTTTTTTTTTTTAATTTAGTGCTTCTTACTTTTATGATTAACCACCTGCCCTTATCTTATAAATGCCATTTGCAGACCCCCTCTCATCCATCCAAGTGTACATACTTTATGGACGATCCCTTAATAATTTAGTAAATAACTTATTAATAGAGTTACTTATTAATTTGCTTAACTAACTCAAAAAGTCAAAGAGTTAGTTATAAAAGCCTTTAAAAAACTTTGACAACCTCTGTATAAATAATTATCAAGAATATTGAATATGACAAAAAATAAAAATATTCATAAGATAAATACTACTTTATGATCAGAGTTCAAAAAATATGTACTTTTTATTTTCAAAAAAATATGTATTTTTTATTTTCAAAAAATATGTACTTTTTATTTTCAAAAAATATGTACTTTTTATTTTCAAAAAATATGTACTTTTTATTTTCAAAAAATATGTTTTCATGTTTTCAAAAATATATAATTGAATTATAATTTCTTCAGCATGTTTATATCTTCATCTTTTATCTAATTTGTTAATTATCAGATTTTATAAATTTCACAGCTTTGCAAATTTAAGTACTATATTTTAATTTTAGTTTTTATTTATTAATGTTTCCATGACTATGGTTAACATTTTGACAGAAAAATTAATTATAGACATCAAATTTTTTACTTATACATTAATATATTAAAATAATATATTGATAAGGTTTCAGAAATTTATCCTAATATTTTACCTACATAAAACCAACTAAAAAAGTATTATCTACAATGCAGAATAACAGTTTAAATAGATATTTGATTTGACGCACAATCAAACAGAATTCCATTTCATTTCGAATGAAATGCATATATCATATTAACAAACTTGAGAAATTCATTTAGATTGGAAATTTTGGACTTTTAAAATAAGAAACTTTCTAGTGCTAATCCATTTGCTTGGTTTCTTATTTTAAAAAAACATGTTTATTCATATAGATATTCACTTTATAGACTGGTTTTAACTTCAAAATGTTAAAATAGATAATTCATGCCTTAAATTTTTTTTGTTAATTCTTTATTGCACATAAGAGCAGAATGACAGCATATCAATATTCACATTTTTACAGCACTCAAAATTCTATTTTTTTAAGTAAGAAAATACCTTACAAAACCACATTTTTTTCATTTATAATAATCATATTTTAATAAAAAAATTTAAACAGAAAAATTTTCTATAAATTAAAATTTTTAAAAACAATTGCTTGCTGTTAATCAACAAGGCAGTTCAGAAGCCTTTCTGCATATTCTGAGCGATCCTTTGTTTAGTGAGTACTGAAGAGATAATGAACTGATTTAAATGGATTTTTGGAGTGATGCTGCAGTTTTGTAATGCTAAATAGGAATTCATGAACTGCAAAGTCTTTAACTTTCTGCAAAGTCTTCCTTCAGTGTCATGCCAAAGCAAAAAGTAAAAATAGCCGAAAAATTTTTTATTGCGTTAATAAAACCAAAAATTTGAAAAGCTGAACTTTGTTCTGCTATTTGATGGATAAAAGTCTTTATACTTAAATAAAAATAACCCAAAAGTAACCCAAAATATTAAACATAAAAAACTAACCCCACCTCCTAACTGTATTAATATACCTTTTACAAATAATTGTGGTCTGCAAAGCAACCTTTTATCAGTTGAATCATACCTCTTGCAAACTTAACCAGACTTGCTTGTTCTTAACGAGACTAATTTAAACTCTGCTATCCCTTTTTTTGATTTCAGTGTTGATGGGTACAATCATTTAATTCACAAAGACTCCCATATTCACATGATTGACTTGGGGGTATACAGACGCAACAATTCATCTATTTGTAGTAAAATCAGGTTCAAATCCTTTGACCATTCTTTTATGTGCTTCTGCTTAGCACCCCATCATTCTACTACCTTCCTCTTTGTTCTTTATCGTTTTCCTTCTTCCCAAGACAGTACTCTTTTAGATGTAATTTCTGATCAAATTGACCATCCCCATTGAAAAAACTATCCTTTACTATAACTATTCATAAGTGATGAAAAAACTAGTCGCCATCCCCTTCTAGCGGTCGCCGATTTGTGCTAAAAAAATAGTGTGGGCATGGTTGTAACGTTATGACTATCCTTAAGGTCGCGATCACGTCACAAAATGAGCTACCATCTTTGTAGGGGGAAAACATTGAACAAAACGCGTAATTAGCGCGTTTTGTTCATTGTTTTAAATTTAAGGCATTGAAAAAAATGCGCTAATAACGCGCTTTACTCAATGTTTTTCCC